TGCACCTGCCCTCGGAGGTCCCCACTAGCTATGGGGTTCCCCGCTCCTTGCTCACACTTTTGTAAGTAATGCTCCCTTCTTGCATATGCTCATTGGATTTGCTATGTCCTCAAGACCCTCCATGAGCATCTCTCTGAGGGCAGTTAAGAGTCTCTGTGAGTTCGAGGCTAGCCTGGTCTACAAAGCGAGTTCCAGGAAAGGCGCAAAGCTACACAGAGAAACACTGTCTTGAAAAACCAAAAAAAAAAAAAAAAAAAAAAAAAAGAGAGAGAGAGAGAGTCTCGCTTTCCTCAATCCAGCTCAGGTGACTTAGCTTAAGGTTCCTGCCTTCTTCCGAGAACTAGGTACTTGCTGCTGCTGCTCAAACGGTCAGCCCTCCACCAGCACTCTTGGTTTAAAGGTGTAAAACACCTCCTTCTGGCCCTATATGTTTACTCTGTAGGTAAACCCAGGAGAACTTGGGAGGCGCTGCTGGCAGAATTTCCGTCATCAAAATTCCCGCTGTATTTTAGAACCCCACAATTTTCTCTCTGACGCCAGCCACTTACTGTAACAACAGGTAAATCATCCCGGAAAGGAAAACAGAGATACAATTGTCAGTCAAAGACGTTTGTGCTAAATGAGTGTCAGCTGTTTCCTATTCTGGCCGCCAGGCAAGCCAGGTTTGACAAAAGACAAAGGGAAATCTACCTAGATTCAAGAACAGTGGTGCTCAGCTCAGGGCGTGTGGGGAGGGTGGTTCTGTCTTCTGGAAGGCACCTTGGAAATGGGGGGTTGGGGGGAGTTAGGGGTGGATCCTGAATCGAAGATTAATGTAGGGCCCTGGCCCCCGTTTGGGTTGCTGCTGCCTTGCTTGCTGACCTTGACCTTGATATCCCCCCTATGCTGATTCCCTGCCGGGTTCCACCCTCCTGAATGCTTAAGGGAAGTTCCTTGTCTGTGTATCCTGCATAATGGGCATTAACAGCATAGATGCAAGAATGTAGAACATTTGGTAGCGAACTTCTGCCCTCCGGGGTTCTCCCATTGTGCTGTAAGCCTGTATTTAAGGTTTCCTCCCTCTTCAATAAATGGCATTCCGCATTCTGCTGAGCCGAGTGATCCGCTGTCTTTTGTCTCTGGTTTTTTGATCCACAGCCCCTCGCTGGGACATGGTGAACAGGTTGTGGTAGCAGCGCAGGTGTTATCGCTACAGATTAAGGGCCAGGGATGCTTGTCAGCTTGCTGTGAAAGAGATAACCCAAATGCCAGAGAATAACCCTGCAGGAACTTTAATGTTCCAAGAATATTTACGTTGCTGAAAAACCTGTTTATAATTGTCTAGGCAGAGGGGAGGCGAGTAAGGGAGTGGTAAACATTTCTGTATGTAGAGCACTCATGTTCACTGAAATTCCCATTACATTCGATTGCCACATAAACTGATGATGCAATTGCAGCATATGTCTTGTTGTTTGGTTTAAATTTTACTCATTTGTGGAAACACTATTCTCAGTCTGTATGAGCAGCTGTAACATTTAAGGCAGTTCCATAAAAGTATTGAGTGCCTGACAGTCAACTGGATTATGTATTAGTCCCAAGATGATGTATTCTCTTGTGATGGTGGTGGTGGCTTTTACAACAGGGTCTCACATAGCCTAGGATGCCCTCCAACTCACTATCTAGCAGAGGCTGGCCTTGAACTCATACCTCCACTCCAAGTGCTGAGATTACAGATATGTACCACCATGGTTAACCTGTGGAATGGCATTCTACTGTACATAATGAAATCTATAAAGAAAATATCCCTACATATAGAATGAAAAACCAACAATTTAGTAATAAGTATATATATATATATTCTTATTCATATATATATATATATATATATATATATATATGACAGTTGAAATATTTCTTTTCAGAGGTTCATTTGCAACAGTGCTTACCACGCAAGTCTAAGGACCTGAGTTTGAATCCCCAGGACCACATAAGAGGCTGATCACAGTGGAGCACACCTATAATCCCATCGCTGGGGAGATGGAGCCAGGAGCATCCCTGAAGCTCCCTAACTAACCAGTTTAGCCAATCAGTGAGATACATACTCAGTGACAGGCCCTGTCTCAAAGAAGGGAAAGAAAGAAAAGTGGAGGCTAACAACCTCCAGCCTCCACGCCCCTCACAACCCCCCTCACATCTATGTGTACCCACAGATGACCGCTGTAGAATATTATTTTAAGATGTGGTACATTGTTGATGCTGTGGAACATTTGTTTAATGATGCAAAGATGTGTTGCATTCTTTTACGTTGCATTTGTTTAACTCTGTGAAGCTGTGTTGCTTTGCCTGTCTAAAACACCTGAATTGGTCTAATAAAGAGATGAACAGCCAATAATAGCAAGGCAGGAGGAAGGATAGGCGGGGCGGAGGCAGAGAGAATAAATAGGAGAACTCTGGGAAGAGACGATTGAGGAGCAAGAAAAGAAGAAGAGGACATCAGGGGCCAGCCACCCAGCTATACAGCAAGACATGGAGTAAGAAGTAAAGAAAGATAAACAGAAATAGAGAAAGGTAAAGGCCCAGAGGCCAAAGGTAGATGGGATAATTTAAGAAAAGCTGACAAGAAAAAAGCCAAGCTAGGACCGGACATTCGTAAGAAAGAATAAGCCTCCGTATGATTTATTTGGGAGGTGGGTGGCAGGCCCCCCAAAGAGCCAAGGAGTAAAACAACCACCTACAAAAAAAAAAAAAAAAAAAAAAAAAAAAAAAAAAAAAAAAAAGGCCGGGCGGTGGTGGCGCACGCCTTTAATCCCAGCACTCGGGAGGCAGAGCCAGGCGGATCTCTGTGAGTTCGAGGCCAGCCTGGGCTACCAAGTGAGTCCCAGGAAAGGCGCAAAGCTACACAGAGAAACCCTGTCTCAAAAAACCAAAAAAAAAAAAAAAACAACCACCTACATATGACCTTGTACCACACACACACACATACCATACAAATTTCTTTCCAGAATAGTCCAAGGTATCTGGCAAAGTACTGACTTGGTTTAAAAGTGCAAACCATCCCCTTCTGGCCCCAGGCTTGCTTTGTAGGTAGACAAATGGCAGGGGGACTTGGAAGGTGCCACTGGCAGAATTCCTGTCCTCAGATTCCTGCTGTGTTTTAGAACCCCACAATTTTATGCCTCTTACCAGCTTTAACAGTAATAAAAGCCTAATGGGCACTGTGCTCAACTCTGCCCCTTTCCTGAACTCCTTACTTGCGTCCTGGCTCTCAACATTTCCCCTGCCACTCCCATCTCCACCCTTCATGTGCTCTCCTCGGGATCTAATACATCCAATGGCATCCAGTGAGCTGCAACGATTCCTTGCTTGTTATTCCTGCAGACTCTTGGGGCTTGTTCATCCTTTCTCACATACCTGCCCCACAATAGTTTGTCAGTACTTTGTTGCTTGGCAACAACGACCCACTGCTCACTGTTGCAATGAAGAGCCAAGGAGATCAGGTGCATTTTCCACATAGTCTTGGTCCATTTTTCTGTTGCTGTATTCAGTACCACTGACTGGGTAAGTTATTTCCTATTTCACATCCAGTCTTGAGGGATTGTGCCTGGTGATGGCATTCTTTTGAATTTTCTTTTAGATTCATTTATTTATTACTCATGGGGTGGGTGCACCACAGCACATGTGTGGAGATCAGAGGATAACTTGTGGAAGTCAATTCTACCCTTGTGTGGTAGTTCTGGGGTTTGAACCCCAGGTTAACAGGCTTAGCAGCAAGCTCCTTTACCTGCTGAGCCATCTCCCTGGCCATGGTGATGACATTCTTACTGAGTAAGACCTACAACAGTGTGGGCATTGTGTGGAGACACAGGAAATGTGAAAGACTTCATTATACAGGCTTTTGTATCAGACTCACTACCAAGATAATGTATTAACTTGTAGATTCATCAATTTACTAATTGTATGAATGGATTAATCCATTCATGAGGGCAGAAACCCAGTCACTTCTTTTTTATTCATGTATTTAGTTGTTTCTTTTTAATTATGTGCACATATGTGGGAGCGTCTGTAACTGCTCATAGAGTCCAGAAGAGCCTGTTGGATACCCTAGAGCTACAGTTACAGGCAATTGTGAGAAAACCAACATGGACACTAGGAACCAAACTCTGGCCCCCATTTAGTCCCACCTTTTAATATGTCATGATAGGGATTAGATTTCAACCTGAGACTGAGAGGGGGCAAATCATATTCAAACCATCCATAGCTTGCCTGGTCCCCATTGATCATCATTTGATACAAGTAACATGCTTTCTCTGCCTTCTCCTGGAGCCCTAACCTTCCCTGACTTATCTATCAACTTGACCCAGTGAATTTGGACCTGGTGTTTAAGCAATTCTAAGTCACTTGTTTCACTGTCCTGTTTGGTATAGAGGATCTTAAATTCAGGGCCTTCCCTTGAGAGTTTCTAGTTCAGGTGGTCTGAGGTAGAGCAGAAGAATTCTAATGTCACCAGTTTCCCAAGAGCTGCTGGTCTAGAGACATTAGCTGCTGAAGCTTTGGCTGCTGAGAAAAATGGTTCAGTCACGGTTACCCTGACTCCAGACACTTGTCTTCAAAGATCCCTCTCTAATCATGAATTTTAAAACATTAGTCTCAATCTGGGAGTGAGACCTTTAGTCTCAGCACTCAGGAGGCAGAGGCAGCACTCTGAGTTCGAGGCCACCTTGGTCTACAAAGCAAGTTCTGGGGTAGCCAGGACCACACAGAGAAACCCTGTGTAATAGGATTCTCTAGAGTCACAGAACTTATGGAATGAATCTCTATCTATCTATCTATCTATCTATCTATCTATCTATCTATCTATCTTCGAGACAGGGTATGATGGCTGGCTGGCTGGCTGGCTGGCTGGCTGGCTGGATGGATGGATGGATAGATAGATAGATAGATAGATAGATAGATAGATAGATAGATAGGTAGATAGATAGATAGATAGAAAATTTATTGGAATGACTTACAGGCTGCAGTCCAATAATGACTACCCGTGAATGGAAAGTTCAAGAATCTAGTAGTTGCTCAGTCCCACAGGGCTACCCAGCCTTGTGTCTCAGTAGATCTTCTGTATATGCTGGAATCCTGAAGAAGTAGGCTCCTATACCAGTGAAGGAATGGATGTGCTGACAAGGTGAGGGGAAGCAGATGAAAAAGGAACCCTTCTTTCTTCCACGTCCTTATATAGACTTCCAGCAAAAGGTATGGCCCAAATTAAAGGTGTGCTTTCCTACCTCAAGATCTGTATTAAAGGTGTGTGTCATCCAGCCTCAAGATCCAGATCACAAGTGTGCCCTCCATTTCCGGATTGTAGTTCATTCCAGATTTAGTCAAGTTGACCACCAAAACTAGTCATCACACTCTGTCTAGGAAAACCAAAACGACAGAAACTAAATCAGTCTCTGTCATAAAATTTGAAGCTATCAGGACTTAGAAAGGATCAGCAGTATCAATGGTTTTCCTGAACACATCCCAGACTCTTTCAAGGCAAACTTGGTTCTGCCCTTTGAGTTAGGTGTTCCTCTGGAATAGCCACGTTGAGATTTAATAAGAAATAGAACTGTCTAGACCTCAGAGACTACTCATTGTTGTGTAGGTCTGTGCACAGAGATGCCACCTCTTACCCTGACTGAATGGGGACTTCTAAATTCTAGACAACTTAATGAGAGCCAATCTTAAAGTAAAAAGTAAAAAGAGGCCTGGAGATACAGCTCAGTGGTAGAAAGCTTGCCTAGTATGCGTGAGGTCTGGATTCCATCTTCAGTGGAAGTAGTTACAAGCCTAACCTTGACTTCCCAAAACATTTATTGTTTAGCTCACATATATCGCCTGATAGCAACAAAGTTTTTGAAATTTTACAGTTTTTAGAATTTACGTTTATTTGTATCTATTGTGTGTGGGAGCAAGTATGAGTCTTCTCACACATGTGAGAGACATATGCACATGACATAAAAGTCCATTCTCTCATTCCACCACGTGGGTCCGGGTAAACCCAGATAAACTCAGATCACTGGTGACAAGTGCCTTCATCTTCTTCTACCCACCGAGCCATCTTGCCAATCCTTGAAATACAATTTTTTAAATCAGTCCTCTCTTCTTCCCCCTTTCCTTTCCTTCCCTACTCCCCTCTTCCATTGAGGACTGAATCTAGGTCCTCACCCATGCTAGGCAACTGTGCTTATATCCGCAGCCCTCATACTTTTTATCTGAAGACTTGATCCCATTGAGTTGTCTGGATTGACCCAGGCAGCCCTTCAATGTTCAATCTTCTCATTCTCTCAAGAAGAGGGTCTCTTTCTTTTTTTTTTTTTTTTTTTTTTTTTTTTTTTTTTTTTTTTGGTTTTTCGAGACAGGGTTTCTCTGTGTAACTCTGCGCCTTTCCTGGAACTCGCTTTGGAGACCAGGCTGTCCTCGAACTCACAGAGATCCGCCTGGCTCTGCCTCCCGAGTGCTGGGATTAAAGGCGTGCGCCACCACCGCCCGGCTTTTCTTTTTCTTTTTCTTTTTTTTGGGGGGGGGGTCTCTTTCTTTTTAAAGTAAGTGTTTTATTATGGCCTGGCACAGTGATACACAACACCTTTAATCCCAGTATTCTGCAACAGAGACTCATAGGCAAATTCTCTGTGAGTTGAAGGTTAGCCTGGTCTATATAGTGAGTTCCCAGCCAATAAGTCCCAGCTAGTAAGTCCCTGTCTCAAATATATATAAATGAAGTAAGTAAGTGCTTTTTAAAATGATTGGTCAGGTAACTCTGACTCTGGTCAGATGTACCTAAGCAGCTACCCCTCCCCTACCTCTGCACTGCCCGCCCACCTTTTATATGTCCATTTCCTGTCTAGTTTCAAACCACCATAGGGAAGAGACATTCATAAGAAAGTAATGTTTTTGAAATAGCAACTGATGCTTCCTGCCCCACCTCTGCCTGGCCAGTATAGGGCAAGCTCATGTTGCCACAGAAGGATTTGAGCCACAGGACAGCAGGGAAAGCATGTGGAAAGCCATCCAGGTGGAATGGCACATTTTAAGGGATCAGCAACACCAGGTCAATGCAGAGAGTGGAGCCAGATGGGGTTTCCAGGACACACAGATCCCAAAATGTCCTCATCCTTCCTCACCATGGACTGGAGCCAGAATGGGACTTAGAAAAGATGTGGGTCTTTATTAAAGTTTCCTGTGCAGCTGAGTTTGGAATGGGGACTCGTAGCCACCATTCGTGAAAACTCAGTAACTATGTTATATTGTCTAGTAAAGTTTATGGAGTTCCTGAAGTTGGGACTTTGCGGTTTCCTGTCCTTAATCTCTGAGATCATATCATTAGGTACTCTTTGGGGACTAGTCAGTGTACTGCCTTTTGCTTCTTGACAAAACATTTTGAGCATCCAAACTCTCTGTGTAATGATCACCTGTGGAGTCACCCTGCTTGAGAAATCATTTCAAATTAACTGAAAACTCTGTGTACCCAATCCCACGTTCCTTTTCCAAAGCTAACATAACCAGGAACATCCTGCCTTATCTTCAAAAGCGAAGCCCCTGTAGATAGTGGTATCACTATCTCCATTGCTCATCTTAAGGTTGACATAAAAACCACAGTGCTTATCACCCTAGTTCACTTTTCGCTCATGGCTATATTGAGACACAATTCACTAATCTGTAAGACAATGCCACAGCTTGCCTACCATTTTTCCAATTGACTGCTGTATGATTTTCAATATTTTGTTTTTAGAAGGAACAATTCAATGGCTGCTTAGATAAATATCAACTTTCAAGCACATACAAAGCCTTACCTAGGATACATGCTAAAATAATATGGCTAGGCTATAGGTTACATACATCTCCAGCTTTCCTGTATATTGTCAATTTGCCTTCTAAAGTGGTTATGCCAATTGCACTCCCATTAACAGTGTTTGGGTGTTTCCTTTTGTCCACTTTCTTGCCAATGCATTGCACTGGTTTTTATACATTCTGATAACCTTTTGAGTTTGAAATGTTAAATTATTTTTAAATTTTATTTGCCTGATTACTAGAGAAGCTGGGCCTCTTTTTTACATGCTTGGAGACAAATATGATATCTTCTGTGAAAAGCTGTTTATCAGTGCCTGGGTTTTTATTTTTTTCACTTTTTATTTTTTGGTCTTATTATTGTTTTGTAAGAGTCCTCATTTTTTTTATTAAATATGGTTTGGGATATATTTTCTCTTTACTTTTGCTATTTTAATGCATAAAAGTTCTTAGTTTTGTGTAGATAAACTTTAGGCTTTCCCATTTGTGTTTTTATCTTATTTCTACGACCTAAGAGAAAGCCAATATTTTCCATCCAAGAACTGGTCTAAAAGTTCTACCTTTCACTTTTCTATCTGTAGCCTTCTTGGAAGTGATTTGTGTGAGTTAGGGGCTTTTTTCCTCCTGGCTAGTCACACTGGCTGTTACAGAGTTTGAAGTCATAGCAACAAGATGAACAAAGTGATACAGTAAGCTAGGTTATAGTACCCGCAGTGGGACTGTTTACAGACCCTCAGAAAAGGAAGAGGCCATCACCAGAACCCCACTCCAATCTAAGAGCACCCCATCCTGGCCACTACCTGCATATAGTCTTGGGCTGCATGGGGGAGGGGCATGGCTGGTATTTATAAGAGGTGGAAAGTCGACTTGGGAGCTAGGACTCATGGATGAAATCTGTGGGTCATCACCCATGTTAGGGTGGGACCATTCAGTGATGCAGCTGTCTGAGTCACCCATACATCTGTAAATAACCTCAATAAATTCATTGGTTCTCTAAGTTGGACCTTGATGGAATCACTTCTCTGGCTTTTTGGTACACTATTTCAGGTAACTATGCCTTCTTTATATCTCTCCAGTAAAAGTCACACAGCAGACTCTTCATTTCTTCTTGTGAACTGACATCATCATTTTCTAGGTGAAATGTACTCATTTGTGAAATCATCTCTCTCATAATATGTACCAAGAAGCGTGGCATTGAGTTATGACTCTCTGTGTGAGGGGAATTAAATCAACATGTAAAATGATAGCCTACAATACCTTCTTTATGATCTCCCAATATTTTGGATGCATAATTCTTTGTTCTCCCATGGAAATAGTACAAGTAGTCGAGGTCCACAAAAAACAAAAACAAAAAAACAAAAAACAACTATACACCCTGTAATTAATCAAACTAACTTCTAAAAATCAAATATACTTTAAAAAACAAAACAATTTCATTCTGCACTATGTCATTCATACCTAAAAGAAATGAACATTTGTTTGAGACCCTAGAAGTCCTAGGAACATGTGTTCTAATACTCCCTGGAACCATTTCTGTGGTAGCTTTGAAACAAAATGCCTTGGCCAAAAACTTTGTTTTTCTAATCCTGGGAAGATACAAACTCAGCAATAGTGTGTTGCTCCAAATGGGCTGTCCAAAGACCTTCCCCTGAGAGCTCCACAAACTTACAGCTTGGGTTACTCAGTGAGGTCACCCCATGCAGGTCCGTGGGCAGATGGCCAAACTTTGATACAAGGCTGTAATCAGATTCCAAAACAAGTATACACACACACAGCATTTCCCTTGTTTCCAGCTTAAACTCGTGATTTATAACAACATGGAAAAACTCCAAGGGGGAAATATATCAATTCAACCTGGTATAATGCTTCCAAATAATTATTTCAAGTATATTTTAGGGAACTTCTATAATTTTTTTTTTTACCCACATGTAATTTTCTGTTACAACAAAATTAAGTAACAAGTACCTTATTTAATTTAAATTTAGTATAATTCACAAGGGAATATAGAACTAGGAGAAAGCTTAGAAAGAATTTAGTTCAGTAATATCCCAACCTTGATTGTACTATTATCTGTAGCCTTAAAAATATATCTATTTCAGATTGGCAAGGTGGCTCATCAGGAAAAGGTCCTCATCAGGCCTGACAACTTGAGTTTGGTCTTCAGGAGCCGCATGGTACAAGGAGAGACTCAATTCCCAGAAGTTGTCCTCTGTCTCCCCTACAAAGTCTGTAGCATGTATATACCTATCTCCACACATACAAAATAAATCAATAAGTAATAAAAATATCAGTGCCAAGGCTGCAAACCAAGTAAATACTATTGGGATGATGGGCCTAAGTATCAGTGTTTTCCAACGATCCCAGAGTGATTTCACTATACAACTAAAATTGAGAAACTCAGTGGCCTAATTCAAACGTTTAGCACATGGAGAAAATGAGATTTGGAGAGTTAAAGTGACTTTTCATTATGTTTTTAAATTTGCCCTATCCTGTATGGTAGCCATTCTCTAAATGTAGCTGTTTAAATTTAATATATTCAAATAAAATAAATTTAAATGTGCATTTCTTACCCATACTTTACAAGTACTCAATATCCACACGTAGCTAGTGGCTGCCATATTAAACAGAAAAGATACATATACTGTCAAAACAGTACATTCTCTTAAGTATTGCTGTAAGAGAGGTAATTTTATATGTGTTCATAAACATCTTCCTTTAAAGTGTGGCAAAGGATTGTCTTATGCCTAGCTAAAGATTTCTATGTGAGCATTAATCAGCTTCAAATTGCAAGCCATAATTCCACAATGGCTATTATAACAAAATCTTTTTAAAGCAAGAGTATCTCACCAGTAGCATGGAGCTCAATAAAGCACCTAATACCATAATAAAGATGAAAGCATCATAAACCAGCATAGCTGTCACTCAAATCCACATCATTCCACTGATGGGTGATATTGCTCTATATGCTATGAATGTGTGTTGCTCTGATTTGGTTGATAAATAAAACGCTGATTGGCCAGTAGCCAGACAGGAAGTATAGGCCGGATAAGAAACAAGGAGAATTCTGGGAAGAGGAAGGCTGAGTCAGTAGACGCCAGCCCACCATCCAGGGAGCAGCATGTAACAGCACACAGGTAAAGCCACGGAACATGTGGCAACATATAGATTAACAAAAATGGGCTGAGTTTAAGTGTAAGAGCTAGTCAGTAGTAAGCCTGAGCTAATGGCCGAGCAGTTTTAATTAATAGAAGCTTCTGTGTGTTTACTTGGGGGATGTGAGTAGGAGAGATTTGTCCCAACCACCGGACGGCAGGACACAGGAAAACTTCAGCTACAATTCCACCTCTACCCCTAAACCCATGGATAATAATCCAAAAGAACAGCCTGTTTCTTTGACTGGTGAGCAAAATGTATTAGAAGAAATGGAAAAGCTACAATTCCCACTGAGTGGCCATTAGACCCAAAGCCAGTTCACAGGTGTTTCCAGGTACAGCGTTGCCCCCAAGAAAGCATACAGGAAACTGGTAAGGGACAATACCTCTTCCTTATGGATCAAAACACAAGGCACAGTTGAGAAACCAAGAGGAACTAAGTTTTCTCATTCTTAGTGTAAGAGGATTTATCGCCACCATTATGATGTTTTGGAATTATAGAACAGACCTTTATCCCTGAAAGTATCTCGGCCTCTTAGAGTAAACATGCACAGGACAACAGAATTCATAAAGCAGGTGCTGGTGCTGGTGCTGGTGCTGGTGCTGGTGCTGGTGCTGGTGCTGGTGCTGGTGCTGGTGCTGGTGCTGGCGGGATCTTTGTTGAGTTCGTAGTATTTTTGTCAGCTCAACTATCTTAAAAAAAAATGCCTAGCTTTGTTTTTTCGGTTGTGTTACGAAATTGAAATTTAATATCACCGTTCCTTGTGAATACATTGTTCCTTTTCGTGTGGCTCAGTGTTTCTTATTCCCAAGTGTATTACATCAAGTCATGAGCTGAACATGCCCAAGATTAAACTAGAGGAAGCCAGCTAGCCAATAGCATAAGGAGCCAATCTTAGCGATTACAGTGTCCCAAGCATTTTACAGAGATTGCATCATTTGATTCCCATGACTCACAATGAGCTAAGTACTAATATTCTTTTACAGATCCTCAATAATTTAGTTAAGGCCACACAGCCAGTAAGTGGTAGAATTGAACTTTGAACCCAGGCAGTTGAGCTTTTAAATGGCAGCATGTTACTGTTTTCTTTCTTTCTTTTTTTTTTGTTTTTTGTTTTTTGTTTGTTTGTTTGTTTTTCGAGACAGGGTTTCTCTGTGTAGCTTTGCGCCTTTTCCTGGAACTCACTTGGTAGCCCAGGCTGGCCTCGAACTCACAGAGATCCGCCTGGCTCTGCCTCCCGAGTGCTGGGATTAAAGGCATGTTACTGTTTTCAACATGGACTTAAAAAAAAAAAAAAAGGTCATACTTGATTTATCAAGGTCAAGATCAGAGATACAGTAACGGACTGGCCATTTGGTCAGGGGGAAAACTCTACCTGGTAACAAGGTGTGGGATGTGAGCTCCGTCAGTTGGGATTTCAGGATGTCTCAGACTGCTTTGTCAGGAAACTGCCTCATAGCCGATTTGACAGGGATGTTTTCTGTTCTCTGGTAACAGAAGTAGTTGCAAAAACCAGAGTCTAGGAAAGAGAAGGGGAGGACATAAGACAAAACTTCAGAAGCTGTATGTGCTACTCCGGTGGGTGTTATGCAATACTCCCCAGGGTCTGGGCTCTGGGAAGACGGGGAGGTAAGGTTTCCTGCCCCAAGGCGGGGGGGCCTGAGATGGAGAGAGATCTGCATTAATTAGATCGTTATATAAACCTTCACCTTTCTTCAGGCCATATTCTCTCTTTGGTAACCTTTACAAATCTCAGCGTGTTTCCACATTTCATTTACAAATGCAGACAAGAAATGCAGTCAGCTCCAGCGTTACTAGCATCCCAGCCGGAGCAAAACCAAATTATTTTCTCACCCAGGCAGCAGCTTGAGGTTCTTATCGGCATCAGAATGCTCTTTGGGTCATTTATAGCCACTCTGGTTCTTTGCTCGGTGTACCACAGACTAATTCAACTTTCCCAAGGAGTCTTGCGTAAAAGTCCTTTGAACTTGCCTGTCTCCTTCTACAAAGCCTCAAGGATTTTATTTTTTAAAAGGTAGACTTGGATGGGACTGGAGAGATGACTCCAGCTGTTAAAAGTGCTTGCTGCCCTTGCCAGGGACCAGAACTCGGGTCTCAGCACCCACGTTAGGTGTGGCGTCCAACGTGGTGGCAAGAGTTTCCACCTAAAAACTGAGAAAAAAGATTCTAAAACGGAGCTTAAAACAGCTTCCTAATTGTCTCTCTCAAATGAACAGCAGCTGCCAGTTTGAGCTACTGGCGGGTTCCTAGCGTGTGCGCTCGATCTGCTGTATGGCAGGAATGAGGCCTCTGCAAGTGGCACATTAAGCTGTGTGGTGGATTTAGCCTTTGCTAGTACAAAAAAAAAAAAAAAAAAGAGGTTTCTGGGCTACACGCTGCTTTGATAGAAGCATAGACCCACTATTTCTGAGAGTTGATGGCTCCCAGAGCTGGCGGAAAACGTATCACTGCCATGTTGGGAAGCTGAGGTGGGCAGAGCCAGCAGCCACAGCTGCTGCAGCTTAAAGCAATAGATTCACAATAAGACAGATTCAGATGTAATAGTTTAAAATGTGTGTAAAATATACGTAGGCTTGAAAGAGACAAAAAAGGTGATATATACAGTTATAGAAACAAATACATAGTTTTAAAAAATAAAGTCTTTAAAGAGATAGTAATATTAATATAAAAAATAAACCATGTGAAGATGAATATTACAGAGAGAATCTGGATTGTGTTGTCTTTGGGATTTTTAACTGCAGAAAAACATTTGATTGTAAAAGCTGTTGAGTTATGCCAAAATGTATATTTTAAAGGTACCTTGACTTCAAAATTTGGATATAAGGATATGTTGCTTTGGAAAGGAGATTCTGCTTTTGTTCCCACAGAAAGCCAGAGGCTATGGATTTGTTCCAGATTAAGATACATCAGGTTTGACCAGCCAAGACCCCCTGAAAGGTGACACCAAGGCCCAGATGATCCAACATCCAGAATGGTTTCAAGGCAACTGGCTCAGATGATACAGCCTCACGGACTACTCCATGATCCTAAAATTTTCTTTGTTTCCACAGAAGATTCAGTGCCCCCCTCCAGCAGGAAGTAGTAAGAGAAGCTACGCCCAAATTCCCAAATATACCAAGCTGACTTTGGAGATGTGTAAAGGTTAAAACCTTCCTTTTTAAGAAAAGAAAAGGGGAAGTGCTGTGGGATGGTCTGTATGGCAAATGTGTTCCTGATTGGTCAATAAATAAATCACTGATTGGTCAGTGGCCAGGCAGGAAGTATAGGCGGGACAAGGAGGAGAATAGAGCTGGGAAGTGGAAAGCTGGGTGAGGGAGACACTGCCAGCCGCGATCAGGACAAGGAAGATGTAAAGTACCGGTAAGCCACAAGCCACGTGGCAAGGTATAGATTAATAGAAATGGATTAATTTAAGCTGTAAGAACAGTTAGCAAGAAGCCTGCCACAGCCATACAGTTTGCAACCAATATAAGTCTCTGTGTTTACTTGGTCGGGTCTGAGCGGTTGTGGGACTGGCAGGTGAGAGAGATTTGTCCTGACTGTGGGCCAGGCAGGAAAACTCTAGCTACGTAGGTGGGTCACACAATTTGCTGTAACTCCAGCTCCAGGGAATGCGACTGCTGGCCTCTACTGGCACCTACACACACACACACACACACACACACACACACACACACACACACACACACACGTACATATGTACGTACGTATGTACAGATATTCATACAGACACACCAATAAAAAAGAAAATAAACTTAAAAATTATGCTTTAAGAGGAGTTTGAGGTTCACCTCAGAATTGAGTTCCAACACATGCCTGCATGTCCTCCCGACACCCCCTCTACTGTCATCGTCTCCTACAGAGCAGTCCAGTTATTCCAAGTACAAGTTATCAACCAGAGTCCAGCCCTAACATCAGCATTCAGGGTTGGAGTTGTACATTCCACGGAGTCAGATAAATGTGGAGTGAGTGACATGAAGCCACCACTATAACATCATTCAGTTATTTATCTTTAAATAGCATTGTCTTGAGTTTTCTACTCATGATTTTAAAATATGCTTTTTCACAGAAGTTTTGGATTCAAATATTCAAATCAAAGCTGTGCATAAACTGCAGTCACCACACATACCCTTCTTTCACACATACTCAGCCTCTTCTATCATCAGTGTCCTACACCAGAATACGTTTGTTAACAATCAATGACCCCTCACTGAACAATCATTGTCATCCAAAGTCCTCAACAGAGATTGGTCTTCATGGTGTACATTCTATGGACTTTGAACAGATGTTTAATGGCGTGTATCTACCATTATAGTATTATTCAGAATCACTTTGCTGCCCTAAAATTTTCTGTGTTCTGTCTTTTTATCTCTTCCTCTTGTCCTAGCAATTGGCAACCACTGAATATTTTATGGTCCCCACAGCCTTGCTTTCTCTAGAACGACAGAAAGTTGAGATCATATAGTACATATAGTACATACCATATAGTATGTAGCTTTCCAGATGGACTTCCCTTGTGTAGTAATATGCACTTAAGTTCTAATACCTTTTTATGCTTCATAGCTTTTTTTTTTTTCAGAGACAAGGTCTCATAGATTCCAGGTTTTCTTAAGTTCAATATGTTGCCAAGGATGTCATGTCATTGAATTTCAGATCCTCTTGCTTCCACCTCCAAAGTGCTGAGATTTCAGGCACAATAGGTTTTATGTTATTCTGGGGATTGAAGCCAGGATTTCATACATGCTAGGCAAGCACTCTTTTAACAGAGTTACACCCCCAGCCAGCTCGCTTATTGTGACCCCTAAATAATATTGCATTGTCTGGATGTACCATAGTTTATTTATCTGTTCACCTACTGAGGATCATTTTAGTAAAAGTCATTGTAAACTTTTATGTGAAAACTTTATGTGTGCATAAATTATCATCTTGTCTGGTTACATACAAGGAGTTTGATTGTTGGATAATCTGCCCATAATTTTTATATCTATTTAAGCTAGGTATATACCACTTACATTTTTTTGATGAAATCCTATGTGTACATCCAAATTCATGGCTGATTATGGCTTAGTATGTTGTGTGTTTCCTATCACAGAATATGAAAGTATGGGTCATTTATAAAGAACAGAGTTATTTTACAGTTTGTGGAGACTGGGGTGTCTAAGATGAAGTCACTGGCAGACTGTTCCATCTCTGGTTCCAATATGGCACCTTATAGCTGCATTCTCCAGAAGAGAGGAAAACTGTCCTTACCTGAGAGAAGAACAAAGTACCCCATGTGGCCCCTTAAATCCATCCATGAGGCCAGAGTGCTCAGAACCTAGACACTTTCCAAAGCACTACACCCAAGGAAGTTGCTGCAGGGTAGATTAAGTTGCCAAATACATTCAAACCGTAGCAGGTACAGTGTATATACTCGGTCCTGAGAGTCCCTGCTTGTTTTTGCTAGACAATTCTTGGACTGTCTCATTGTTTCTGGAAAGCTAATAGACTGTGAATTCACTACCAGTGCCTTTTGTGCTCGGTCTGACAGTGAGTGACAGCAGACAAGGTTGGGGCTCTTAGACACCCCTCAGGCAGCCAGCCCAAGAGCCAGAAATCTGTAGTTGCCTTGGCAACGGCTGAAGTTTCCTGTCATGGGCTGAAAAGCACGATGTCTCTTCATTTGTGAAAAGTCTATTTTACGCTCTCAATCTGCCTGCAGCATAAATATGCCGAGAATGAGACCCTCAGGACTGGATTTCCTTCTCGTTTTGAAATACGGATTTAAAACTCATAGGAGGAGGTGAAAAGGAGGCTTTCACACACACACACACACACACACACACACACACACACACACACACACACACACCCCTGTTGCTATAAGGCACAAATACTCCAATACAACCAGAATTCTTAGTCTTGAGGTTCCAGACAATCTATTTTAGACACAACAATTGTTTTAGGTCATCACAGAAAGAAAGAATTCAGTGCTCTTCCTTTTTTTCAGAGATGCCCTATGCCCTTGGTTGCATTTTTAGATACTAACACAGTGTTCTGAATAGATGAATAATTGAAATATCCTTAGTAAATACATATTCGGCAGCGCCCACTATATCTTAAGGATTGTTGAAAGAACTCTGCACATTCTCCAAATGCAAGCTTGCTGTAGTCTAAATTACTTAGGAAGCCCCCAGCCTTGCATGGACAATAGACATTCTCTTCCTCTCAACCTCCTCTAATTGAAGCCTCTGTTTGAGCCCAAAGGGCTACAATTTCCTTGATTGTCTCTCCCTCAGAATTCCCCAGACTACTGCTTATCCCCAAAGCCTAAATTTCTGCCTGTGCCAGCTACAGGTATGTAAATAACATTTATGCTTTCTTCCTTCCTTTGAAGAGTTAAGAACCAAGTCTCTAACAAACATCCGCCAGGTTTTATTTTAGAACTAAGAGAATAACTGTATTCCCTAAAGCAACAAGTTTCCCATACAGCTATTCCACCTTGAAGTCATC